GTATCGGGTATTAAATATACATAAACAGGTCAGCTTGTTTCAATATTAGTAATGTGCATCACTCAATAAATATACATAAACAGGTTAGCTTGTTTCAGTATTAGTAATGTGCATCACGTATTAAATATACATAAATAGGTCAAATTGCTTCAGTATTAGTAATGTGCATCACGCATGAAATATAAATAAACAGGTCAAATTGCTTTAGTATTAGTAATGTGCATCAGGTAGTAAATATAAGTAAACAGATCAAATTGCTTCAGTATTAGAATGTGGATCAAGTATTACATATACATAAACAGATCAAGCTTGCAAACATTGCTAATCCGTGTAACCGAATGAAGTGCAATAAAACTTTAGTATTCAATTCCCTGAAAAAACTCAAATTATGAGGTAGAAATTCCTAAAAATATCGAAAATTGTATCAGTTGATTAAATAAGTTCATTATCAATCATATTTCTGTATCGAAGATTTAATTTTTGAGCAATTTTCCCCCATAGATTGATTAATTAGTAACAAAAAAATATTCTAAAATTTACATTTTCTTCAGAGAATTAGGGCTTACCTGTTTGACTCGATAGAGCATTGCCAACTTCTTAAATAAATAACGAAGTTATGTCTACTAGCAACACGTGAGCGGCAGCTTCAACCAAATGGGACACGCAGTTCTTTGTTAGTTCTCCTACTACTAAGTTATGCTTGCCAGTCTACCACTAAAGGCGGACTGCCACATCTTCCCAAGAAACACTTCGCGCACCTTACTTCGCACGTAATGACTTTTATTGATCACTGAGATCTCTGTTAACAGCTGTACATACGTCAATATTGCACAGTAGAGTCCATTATTTGTGCAGGAGGGTTAAATAGTAAGAAAAATGGAGTAAAAAAAAAGGAAATATTAAGAGCGGTTACTACTTCCACCTAGATAACATTGTATACGTTTTTTGGTAATATGTACATATTGTTTTAGATTTAAACACCATTGAAGTAGTTATACTTAAATTTCACTGTTGGTTATGAACTCCCTCTGGTGGTATGGACTACGTGTTTAATAAAATTTACGTGCTTGCTACTTCCTACGATAGCTCCAGTCATGTTAAAGAAAGAACCATGAAACTTATTAACATTTTTCTAATAGTTTAATATAAATTTGATGTTGAAAGGTAAAAGGTCAAGGTCACAGCTTTATAATTGGACAACAATTACAGGTAGAATCGTCAAGATATAATAAAGATTCCGTCTTTAAAATGTATTACAAAAACGTTATTTGAGAGTTCAAATGTGCTTTTCACAAGGCGTGCTTCAGTCACTAAATATTTACCGTCTTGGCTAAGCTTAGTATATATGAGTCTTTTAACTTGGATAGGACAGACTGGGAATAAAATGGACATTATAAAACAAGGGAATAGAGCTTATACAATATACTATGTTGGGATTTTTGTATATTTCAATATATCTGCAAATTATATATTTTTCATTGTCAAATGATTTGTACTTAAGGGTGGGACGTAGTCGCTCATAAGCAATTAAGCTGATCCTTTTGATTATGCTTTTTCCTGTGATATTTCAGGTATTACATGTTGCATTCTGAAAAGTCTTATTATACATGCAGTTCTCCCGCCAATAAACAGGTTTTACTATTGTAAATTACTCCTGTGTTTTTCAAATTCTTAGCTTGGTTAGACAAGAGAACCATTTGCGATTTGAGTTCTTGTAAGGTTATTCGTATTTAAAATGTACCGTGGTGTAATATGTAATGTTTGGGTATATTGTATATAAAGAGAGACGAAACAATAAGTATCAGAGTATCAGAATATTTCATGAGTTCGAATACAGTAACATCAACGTACCTGTAAGCAAATTAGGGCGTGTAATATGAAAAATATCGAACTTCCATTTGTTGTGCAAAGAGCAAACTAACAGCTTATAAAAAAAATGTAAAGCGGCACCGATTCAAAACTTTATTGGTGCACAACATAAACGCATGAGAGGCACAGACAGAAATATATGTCTCTATTTAAAGAGCAGATGGGAAAGCGAAATTTATTTTATCAGGCCCATTAGTGTATGTGTGGATCGTGTAAATATGTGTGTATGTGCATTTAGAAACGAAGAAAGGGGAGTACAACTGAAATTTATAATCAGTTCCTCTACTTGACTGATTGATTGTTTGGAATTAAGCACAAAGCTACACAATGGGCTATCTGTGCTCTGCCCACCACGGGTATCGAAACCCAGTTTCTAGCGTTGTAAGTCCGCAGACATGCCGCTGTGTCACTGGGGGTCTCCTCTACTTATGTTTGCTTCGGATGGATAGGTCTGAATTTAATGACAACCTGGACAACGCTTTGGATATGACTGTCATCGTAACCGTGAAGAATAGAGGAGGGTTGGTATCGTTGTGCGTGTCAATTTCAGCTGGCTTGAACTTATATTATTAGTAAGAGTCTACGCTGCCTACGAAGAAGGACAACATTCATTTCAGTATTGCCATGATCCATGCCACAGCCTATCCTGCAGCATTTTGAACATATAATATCCAGAATCACGAAGCTAACTCTCAATGTCACTAGATTTACCATATCTAATGAAATAATGCAGTGCTTCTATTCTTATCTTAAACATGGTGAAACTTACTTATATTTTGCATAGTAAGCAGTTTAAAATTGACGATTTTAGAAATGAAATTAAAACAATTATTTGCTTCGAGCATTTTTCTAGGCAACCAATTGGTTGAATGACACTACAACGAAATAGACAACTGGATGTCTTAAAATTGTTTGTTTTTACCCAAAAGCTCCACAATGGTTACTTACGCCGCGGTAGATCGAATTTCGAATTCTAACATTATAAGCCCTCAAGCTTACAGCTAAATCACAGGGGGCTATTTTAAAATTAAAACCTTAAGATATATTTCCCATCTAGAAAGCCTTGATTGAAAATTTAACCGATTTTATTCGTCTGTGATTTAAAATCTTAAACTACTACATACTATTCTTCAGAAATGTACAAGGACACTTTAATATTTCATCCGCAAGGTGGCAGGAGATGTTGCGCTTGTATAAAAGGAGAAGGCGGAGAGGATACTACTGTATGTAAAACTTGTCAATGTAAAAGTTTTGTTCTTTTTCCTCAATGTGTTCCTAGAAATCAAAACATTTAGCGATGATACTGTTAGATTTGCCAAGACTCAACAGAAAACCGTGACTATTAATTTTCAAACATAACAACCGTGAACAAAGTCATATACACATGAAATATATTTAAATTTATGAGTTTTTTTTAACATTTACATATCTAAGGTGTGTAGTACTCGAGTTGTTGCTGTGTTATGCTTATAAGTGCCTTTGTACATCTTCATAATGAGGACAGTCTAGGTTTTCTGGTAGCTCTACTACCCGTAATTACACCACAATGAAACGCATGATCGTCTTATAAAGACTGCAATTTACATTAGATAGCAAAACCAATACCAACTCAACCTCTAAACTGACACTTCGAGTAGGGCTAACGTCTATCGGTCTAGTTAATACGATGATCAATAAGTTTTCCTAATGGAGATATATATACAAAGTGTACGATTTTTGATAAAGATGAGCTCCTTGCTGTTTTTGTGTTTCTTCTATTTATCTTCCCAGCTACTGTAGATATAGTAAGTCAATCGTCTTCATCGTATGGTGATATAAGATGTAGTATAAAGTAATTGAGATAATTGTCTGTTTTTGTGTTTCTTCTGTTTATCTTCCCAGCTACTGTAGATATAGTAAGTCAATCGTCTTCATCGTATGGTGATATAAGATGTAGTATAAAGTAGATGAGATAATTGTCTGTTTCTTTGAAGATAAGCACAAAGCTACAGAAAGGGATATCAGTGCTCTGCAAACCACGGGTATCGAAACCCTGTTTCTAGCGTTGTAAATCCGCAGATGAGATAATACAACCAACAAATAAGAATCATGTTTTATGTTTCGACAATTTTAGCCAACGCATATATTTAATTAAAATTTGAAGAACTGATAACTTAAGAAGGCGCTAAAAGTTTAACTTCTAAACTAGAAAAAAAAATTGCCTTGTTATACAATGAACATCAAGTAATTTAATTTTTCTCAGAAGTTTACCCCCCCCCCCCAAAGGACCCTCAGTAGCACAGCGATATATGTCTGCGGACTTACTACGTGGTGGGCAGAGAACAGCTATAACCAATTGTGTTGCTTTGTGCTTAACTTCATACAAACAAACAGAAGTTTTCTCCAACAATAATATTTCATACAATTCTAATAACTGTTATATGGTTAGTACATCACATTACTCCCCCCCCTCAAAAAAAGATTGTTATTTATTATCTAAAATATATAACTATTCTCTCTGATTTCCATATATAAAGTGATTAAAATGATTTTGGATTGATAGTTCTAGTTTGTTTTAAATATTACGGTTTTTACTATCTTTTACGTTTAATGTTGAATCTGAGCTTATATCCCTATTTTCTCTGCTTGAATTTCAATTTTAGCTTCTTGCTTAAAATATCATTTCGTTTTTTATTGTATTTTATTTAATTGTTGACATGGCCTACTATTTAGTTTCAACTATTATTCCATATAATGCTAGGGAGGTTTTAACAATAGAACAAGTTTTTACTCACTTTAGTTTCCCGGTGGATGAACGGTAGGTTTACGGACTTGCAACAAAAAGAAAAAATAATCACTTTAAGCAGTTTTATTTTACATTTAAAGTGCTATTCAGATTTTGCTGCTCTTTATGTAGTCAATGGTTTACTTCTTTGTTTAACATTGGGTTGGTATTTCTAGTTTATTTGAAAATATATTACGTTTGTCATTACTATATATTTGGGTTTAAGACTGGCGCTGCTATAACGAAACCTAAACACATGGGATAAAAACAAGGTTACAATTTGAGAAGAAACAGAAACCAGAATATTGTTTTCTTATAGCCTACTCCTGAATTGGAAATATCAAACTTTCTCTCGAGTCTTCAGCTTTACAAACTTATTCTAAAATTGTCTGTTTTATCTGCGATATTATGTTCGGTTACTGAGTGTTTAGCAGTGCTGGAACCTTTATTATGGTCGGTTACTGAGTGTTTAGCAGTTCTGGAACCTTTATTATGATCGGTTACTGAGTGTTAAGCAGTGCTAGAACCTTTATTGTGTTCGGTTACTGAATGTTAAGCGGTACTAGAACCTTTATTATTTTCGGTTACTGAGCGTTAACCAGTGCTGGAACCTATATTATGTTCGGTTACTGAGTGTTAAGCAGTGCTGGAACCTTTATCATGTTCGGTTACTGAGTGTTAAGCAGTGCTGGAACCTTTATCATGTTCGGTTACTGAGTGTTAAGCAGTGCTAGAACCTTTCCCTGGTTTTATTGAGTTTTAATCTTTTAAACTAGCTTTTCAAATAACTGCTTCTTCTGGGGAGGTACCTGCTTAAAACGGAATAGATTTATTATTTTTAAAACAATTTTTTTTAAATGCACTGAATTTTTTTTTGAATAAACTCTACTTAAGAGAGTTACTATTTTCTTAACACATTGAAAATGTTATCCGATATAAGAATAAACTAACACAACATTCTTATTTTTTATGAATAGTATACTTTAAAATGCTGAATGGTCATTGGCTCAGTATAGCACACATAAGACTGTAGTTTCATTTACTAAATTAGAAAAAGATTATTAGTCCTTTTTTTCTTATTTCTTTATTTAGTAAAGTATAATTAATGATCT